TGGTCTGTGAGGCTTCTCCTCGTAGCCCAAAGGCCCACATAGCCATCACAGCCAGGCTGATCCAGTAACTCCAGCAGAAACTTGTCTCTGGAAATCTTCCACTGTTGTTCCAGCGACGTTCCTTATATATGTTACCAGGAGGCTGCGTAAGAGTCAAAAATCTTATTTTGCACTTCCTGCCATATCTCTGACTCCAATATGTTGCTATTTTACCGGTTTGGAACTTTCCAGCATCTTCTATTTGTACATTGTAAGATAGATTTCTTCTTCGTCCCATTGGAGTACATTTGAGTGCTTTGAGTCGGTTCCAGTAGTTTAAAATATTTCACCGAATCAATGCATGTATGAAGACCTTCCGCGCATGTATGCAGACCCTCCGCACATGTATGCAGACCCTCCGCGCATGTATGCAGACCCTCCGCGCATGTATGAAGACCCTCCGCGCATGTATGAAGACCCTCCGCGCATGTATGAAGACCCTCCGCGCATGTATGCAGACCCTCCGAAACATGTATGCAGACCCTCCGCGCATGTATGATGACCCTCCGCGCATGTATGCAGACCCTCCGCGCATGTATGCAGACCCTCCGCGCATGTATGAACACCCTCCGCGCATGTATGAAGACCCTCCGCGCATGTATGCAGACCCTCCGCGCATGTATGCAGACCCTCCGCGCATGTATGCAGACCCTCCGCGCATGTATGCAGACCCTCCGCGCATGTATGATGACCCTCCGCGCATGTATGATGACCCTCCGCGCATGTATGATGACCCTCCGCGCATGTATGCAGACCCTCCGCGCATGTATGATGACCCTCCGCGCATGTATGATGACCCTTCGCGCATGTATGATGAAACTCCGCGCATGTATGAACACCCTCCGCGCATGTATGAACACCCTCCGCGCATGTATGCAGACCCTCCGCGCATGTATGCAGACCCTCCGCGCATGTATGATGACCCTCCGCGCATGTATGATGACCCTCCGCGCATGTATGAACACCCTCCGCGCATGTATGAACACCCTCCGCGCAGTTGCCAACGCTCGTCTAGCTTACTGTACCAAGCGTGACGACGCACTGTATTCAGCAGTGCGTCGTCCACAGGTTTCCCAATATCCTCCTTACATTACCCGACTGTTGAAACCTTTACTTTATCGTCATCTCGAAACGTTAGGTCGTGTGACATCATTATTCCAAGGTGCTTACACTGCCTCGCTCTTCTCTATTGCGATATCTGTGTCTTACATTCTATACATCTTGCATGCTTTTCGTTTTAAACCCTTACCGAACAAACACGAATTTGTCACCGTTGAAAGTCGTATTATTTTCCGTTGTGTATTTGCAAGATCTTGATTATATCTGATGGAAATTGGGTTGCATCTTTCCCTGAGGAAAGATCGGTTCCCTAGGAGGCCTGGTCGACGACCGGGCCGCGGGGACACTAAAGCCCCGAAATCATCTCAAGATAACCATCTCAAGATATAAGGAAGAAGAAGGGCAACGGTGCGTTAACCGTGCACTGTGCCTTGTACCGTACTCACGATGGGTTTTAATTTACTGCAACTCTAATGTGCTCTAGAGTAAATAGGGAAAACATCTTCCTACATGAGTAGGGTGAACAGGGTGGCAGTAATGAAGTCATTGGTTCAAGGAACTATGGGATCACTAGCCCCTCCTCGACCCCAAGGTTATCTTGAGGTTATCTTGAGATGATTTCGGGGCTTTAGTGTCCCCGCGGCCCGGTCCTCGACCAGGCCTCCACCCCCAGGAAGCAGCCCGTGACAGCTGACTAACACCCAGGTACCTATTTTACTGCTAGGTAACAGGGGCATAGGGTGAAAGAAACTCTACCCAATGTTTCTCGCCGGCGCCTGGGATCGAACCTAGGACCACAGGATCACAAGTACAGCGTGCTGTCCGCTCGGCCGACCGGCTCCCCAGGGGCCAGATTCACGAAAGCACTTACGCAAGCACTTAGGAACCTGTACATCTTTTTCTCAATCTTCGGCGGCTTTGTTTCCAATTATTAAACAGTTTACAAGCATGAAAACTTGCCAGTCAACTGTTGCTATTGTTATAAACAGCCTCCTGGTGCTTCGGAGCTCATTAACTGTTTAATAATTGTAAACAAAGCCGCCAAAAATTGAGAAAAGATGGACAGATTCGTAAGTGCTTCCGTAAGTGCTTTCGTGAATCTGGCCCCTGGAGGCTAGGGGGTCGAGGAATTTAGGGGGTCAAGGAGCCATGGTGGGGGGGGGGGGTCAAGGAGCCATGGGGTCGAGGTGATGGTCGACAGGCGGGTCTCGACCGCCCACCAAGCGGTCGTAACGACCAGGGTGTCCGGGTCCAACAGCCCTGTTAACGACACACTCCCGCCACCTCTCACAACAGCTGAATCCCCACCGATTGTCAAGACGCCTGTTAGCGCCCTCGTCAAATCTCAACTACCTTGAGTTACAAGGCGGCGGGTCGTTACACCGCCCACTCGGCCTAATAT